CGGCCCCCAGGCGCGAGACCAGGGAGGGGCCGCGATCGGGCCGAGAAGCCGCCCGAGGAGGGCGCGGTTCGCCGCCCCCCCGGGAGCCGAGCGGACCTGAGATGTAAAACGGACAGTGCTTCATCAGAAAAAATTGTTCCATGCCTTAAACTGAGTTTCGGCCCAAGCTTTGGGAGTTGCTGGCTGGCTGGCTGCTTTCAGCTCACTTGACTGATTAAAAAGAATTGAAAAGCAGTTCTCTCTTTTTACCCAGTTGCTATCACTTTCTGTCTCTGCTAAGAGATGGTCTCTGCCCAGCTGTGTTGGAATGCGCAAGATAAGAGTCCAGTGCCATAGACTTAGTGTTTTACAGCCAAAGTGCAGCCATGGAAGGCCTTTGGAGGAATATAGGATTCCGGAGATGGAGAATCTGAGCCACCTGGTTCTTTGGTTTCGCTAGTGAAGTATGTTTCTCTTTGCTTGTTATATGAGGTAATGTAGAAAGCTGTACATAGCCCTCAGGTTGGAATGCGCTGTCCGCTTCCCTCTTACGCTGCTCGGTCAAGGAAGCTGTCTTCTCTGCACATTTGTCCAGTTAGGCACTCTGCTCCCATCACTTCCACCTTTTGTTTGGCCTATTGGTACCACTGTCTGGGGACTTGCTGAGAACGGACTAGGATGTTTTGTCGCATCTACAGGTTGCAGAAGCTGCAGCTATTTGCTTGTTGACTGCAGGATTCTACCAGGCAGCTTTTCTTTTTCATGGAATGTTCTTTCATCCTCCTCATTTTCATTCTGTGTGCAGCACGCTTTGTTCTCTATCTGTAATGAAAAGAAGATTGAGTTTATGAATAGGGAAGTTCTGTTTAAAATACTGTAGTTGTTTTAGCTTGCAGCTTCTCAGAAGTCTCTTGAATAGTGTGTTATTAGCAGCTCTGCTGATTTCTCCTTGCCTTGCAGCTACCCCTACACCCCTGCTTTGTATGAAGGAACTTGCTTTGCAGAAGCGGAGTGAATTCATCTTTGGTGGCTTTCAGCTTGGCTGCTGTCTCCCTGTATAAAACTGTGAGAATTGCTTACATGCTGTTGTTGAGACGAATGTGCTGTGGGAGACCGTAAGTGACTGATAATCACAATTATGCAAAATTTCAGTCTGTGCTTCTTCCCAAGAGCTTCTGAACAGTCATTTTATCAGATATATCACTGGTGCACTGCAAAATACCCATTGTAAAATTTAACGTCTGTCACCCCTCTTGTCTGCAGACATACAGTGAAATCTTTTCAAAGAACGCTTTTGACAGACAACCTCGTGTTAAGAGGCTGACCTGAAGTACCCTTTGTATTTGTAGTCCAGTCTTCATTGTCCTCTTCTGGGAAGTTGCTTCTGCTGAGCCGCTGATCTGTGTAGGTCCTTCGAAGGGTTGTTTGACCCAGACTGTCTGAAGAGTTTCCTACCTTTTTTAATTCCTGCTTGTCTGGGTTCTGCTTAGCCAATTCATTTTGATGTTTGAATCTCTTCCTCAGTAGGCTTATGTGGTATCTGTTCCATGGTGCTGCTGTGCAGTGAAACAGTCCTTAAGCTCTATTTCTTTTGCTGTGTATTTGCTGTGCCTTGAATGCTGATTGGAATAGGGAACGTGGTTTACGGTCATGAGTGGGTGCTCATTTATGGAAGAAGTTTGGGGCAGAAATAGTCTAACGTATCATGGTGAGTTACTTTCTGAGTTTGTAAGCAGCTGAAAGCTTTTTTTGATGAAGATAGTGTAATACAACGTGGTTGGTTGCTGTTTTCAGTGGCGAGGATATCGAGGGAGCTGCAGGTAGAGTGCATTGCCTCCAGGAGCTGTGGGCCAACCTCTGCAGTACTTCTTTTGATGAAACAGGAGACTTATATTTATATGGCGCTTAGGGACATGGTTTAGTGGTGGACTTGGCAGTGTTAGGTTTATGGTTGGACTCGAAGATCTTAAGGGTCTTTTCCAACCTAAACGGTTCTATGATTTCTGCAGAATTTCCCATAATATCAATGTTTTTGTTTTAATGTGCATTTCCTCTCCCTGAATGATGCATGTTCTTTGCAAAGGAGAAGACAAGTTAGAGATTTGTAAAGGCTTCTACCTATAATAATCTGGGCATCTTTGTTCTGGCATATAAAGTACTGTATTTCCTTGTACTCTTCAGTAGCAACTTGCAATCTAAGTTGCAGTACAAATAAAAGACTATGACTGTACTGCAAGAGGCTGAAGGGAGAAGTGGTAATTAGGTGCTAATTACTCACGGGTATATTAGTTAAAAGAGTTGTAAAATCAGTTCTTAATACTCAAGGAAGTGATCTTTGAGCCTTGCCTCTTCACTGTGTATTTGCTGTGCCTTGAACACTGAATAGATTTAGATGGTTTCTAGTCGTGAGTTGGTTCACTCGTGGGAGAAGTAATTATCTGTTCAATTATTGCAAGCCAGTCTGATTATTGGAGATGATGTGAGCTTAATGCCGTATGACTAAGATTTCTCAGGCTTTCAGGTTTAGGCCATCATAGGCTTTAGTTGCTGAATGAAGAACAGTGAGTGGAAATTACATACCATTTGGGAACTGCCTGTCTGTCTCTAGACTTAATGGATGGAAACCTGTATATCCTGCAGGTCCGGGGTGTTGTGCAAGTTGGGCACTTTGTCTGGGGAATATGTACAGAGCTGTGCTACTGCTTGTGTACTGGTAATTGCCATAGTGTACTTAAAGATTTAGTTGATGAGTTATCCCTGTTTTGAGCTATTGCTGCAAAAGCCATTTGAAAGTCTAAATTATTATTTATTTGTGTGTGTGTGTAATTCAGCAAAAGGAAGTGAGGAAGACTGATTCATAGTTTTATTAGGTTCATCTATCTCTTTGTGAGACAGAAGGATCAGGTAAGCTCTGAATTCTTTTGGCTGATGCTGCAGAGTACATTGGCTCAGCATGCTTTCTTGGTTCTGCCTTGTCTCTTTATTACACTGCACTTGGACGTTAGAGAAAGTCAGATTTTTAGGATCAGGAGGGACTCTTCTGACTTGCAGCGTGGCATGCTTGGCAGACTTTTCCTATCCTCAGAAATATCAGGTATTGGGCATTGAGGATAACTGGTATAGGAAGGCTTGCTATGGATACTAACCCCAATAATAAGTGCTGTACAGGGGGCTGCAGTCTTCTAAATGTATCTGGGTTCAAAGCACTCCTGTCTTTATGCAGATTCCTAAGTGCTTTGCTCTGCTTATGCAATGAGGCAAGGTGCTATTCTGGTCCTGGGTTCCTTATGCTTTATTGCCTGAATTCCTAGTTTACTTTGGACAAAAGAAGACCAGCTGCTTCAGGATGAGTGTAGAAGAAAGGAGTAGAGTCCAATTTACTGATTGTAATGGGTATGAAAATAGCACCAGCAGTTGTGTATGCGTTTAGGGTTAGAGGCCTCTTGAGAACGTATTTGCTGCAAGTTAACATGTCACTCTTAGCAAAGAGTAAATTGTATGTTTCTGTCTTGGAATGAGAGAATAGAATACTGATAATCAAAATTTGTGAAGAAAGGGGAGTATGTTAACACAGGCTCATGGGATTTGGAGACAGTGTTTCCAAAGCTTGGTGCTTTCCGTTTATGAATTAGCCTAGCTCTGTGGGCTGCGAAGGCTTCTTTGAAACACTAATTTAATTGAGCTCTCATGTGAGCAGTGTTCCTTTGTGTGACCTCACCTTGTCCAAGCTGGAGTTTTTTACCTGATGCACCTTCTCTGAAGGACAGGTTTTCCAGTTTGTTGTCAAGATGTTAGTGGTAAAATTTTTATCCAGAGCAAATCTTGGAGCGGGAGATGGCTTGGTTGTCTTCCCTCCAGGATTAGGAAGTAAAATATCAGGTGTTGTTTGTGTAACTGCTTACTCTAACTTGCAATTTTGTATGATAGGAATCATATAAATGCTTTTCTATCATCACCCCTAAGACCTGCTCAGCCTGATTGGTGCACTGAGTCTGTTGCTTTTCCGAGGCCCGCTCTTTCTTGATATGTTAGTCTGAGCTAATGCTGTGCTGCTTATCTGAAAGGTTGGAGATGTTATTTTAAGAAACTGGCAAAGCTGAACCTAACTTGACTGGCGCTTTTCCACATGAGATGTGTTTAGTCTTACAGTAATTTTATGGGTTTTAGAAAAACATAAGCCGCTCTTGGGATTGATGTTAAAAAGGAAAGAGAAGGCCAGAAGGAATACTGACTGTGAGTTGGGGTAAGCTGCGCATTTTCAGAATATCATGAAATTCCTAATCTGGCTTGCCAGATACTTTCCAAGGGGTGGGATGGTAGCGTGGACAGTCTGACTGTCGTAGGAGTGGAGGAGAATGGTGTTCCTGTGCGCATGCAATACCAATCTTCCTTTTGGGTTGGCTGAAGCCCCAGATAGCTTTGGAGTGCAGGCGTCCTGGATTCTGCACGAGCTGCAAAGACCGTACACATGCTGAGAATAGAGCAAATTGAGCAAGGCAGCTTCAGAAGAGCTTCTCATGGTAAACAATGCTTGTTTTAATAGGAGAATGGCTGATTTCTCTCTCCAGCAAGTGCCTTCATTGTAAGGCAAGTATCTCTGATCTGATGGAGACTTGAGGGCAAGGCTAGCTGCAGTGATAACACTGAGCATTTCTAGGAGGTGCTATGAAAGAAATGCTAAATTTGCACCCCTCATCCTCAATTCCAGCCGGCAGGAGTGATGATAACGTTGTGACTATCTCAGAAGACTGCACCAGGAGGTCATAGCGTTCTGTTTTCCTAGATGAGGAAGCTGCCTCAACTGGAGTGAGAAGATAATCACAGAGGGCTGATAAAGGGGCATCTGAGTTTTCATCTCTCTCCTTCCAGTGATACCAGTCTCTGCAAGGGAAGGAAGAGGCATATGAGCTTCATTAATTGAGATCATCAGTGGATCTCTAGGTCAACATCTTATACAGGCCAGGCATACATGTCTTTTGTGGTAGACTCAGATAATTTCATAGAAGTTCCCTTTTCCAGGACAGTCATGTAGACCAATTTCCTGGGTCAGGTATCTCTGCAGCTGCTTGGTCTTTGCTGATCCGTGGAAACCTCTTTCTTCTTTACTTGCCTTGCATCAGGAAAATTCCAAAGGCTGCTGGTTTCCCTTCAAGTATTAGCCTGTCTTAGCAGCTCTTTCCCAGTTGATCAAGGAAGTCGGGAAGGTATGTTAATCATGAAACAATGTCCCTGCTCAGCACTGTCTCATCTCTATTCTGGGAAAGGGGGATTGGCTTGCCCCAATAGGAGAAATAGGAGCTTCCATAGGAGCTGGGAAATTGTTCTTTGGATGCTTACCATCTCGTTCAGGATATGCTGGAAATTGAGTCTCAGGAGGAGTCCTTAAGGACAGGACTACTTCTGTATCTGGTCAGATCTCATTTTGGGCAGCTTGAAGCCTTTGTTTCTGAGAAGTGCTGATGGGGAGGGTTGTCTCTCCCCCATGTGACTTTCTCCCTATGGCTCTGTGGGAGAGAGCAGGGCTACTCCCTCCACCCAGGAGAGGATTAAAAAGGAACTGAACAAGTACATTCCTTTACAGCCTTTTACTACCAGATGAAGCACAAACCAACAT